ACGAAGGAAATTATAGACCTATCAAGATAGTCAAAGATGGAGAAAAAACTCAAAGTGTTGCACAGAGTGAAGAGTCATTTTCAGTGGATGCACTCACTGAAATGTTCAGTCAAATGAGGCCAAACATAGTGGCCTTGGAAGAGCTAGTAATTGGCAAAAAGGTAATCAAGGAATTTTAAATGAGTTCTCAGCAACAAGGGTAAATGGCTGACATGCTGGCTTTCAAAGTCAAGTTAATGGCTTTCAATAAAGAATATAAAGACAAGATGAAAGAAGAAGCAGGATTAAAAGTATTGGGAAACAAATTAGTAGTGTTCGAGTTGGAGCAAAATATTGGCCGAGAAGTCAACAAGGTGGATTGTTTAGAAGAGAAATTGCTTACGAGGAACTTGGATGATGAAATAATGAGGATCAAAAAGCCTGGGAACGCTCAAACACAAGACCCTTTGAGTAGGGTAAATATTGCCGACGAATGAGAAGATCGCCCAACATTTGTCAGCTAAATGCTTAGTCAGAATGTTAGTAGTAAATTAATCACTTTGTTAAAAGAGTATAAACATTGTTTTGTTTGGGAATATGAACATATGTCTTGTTTGGATAAGAATTTGGTAGAATATAGATTACCAACTAAACCAAATTTTAAGCTTCATAAACAACTTCCTAAGTGTTTTGCCCCTAATGTACTTCTTAAAATTAAGAAAGAGATAAAGGGATTGTTAAAAGTAGGTTTTATTAGGACGACCAGATATGTCGAATAGTTGTCCAATACCGTGTCAGTGTTAAAAAGAATGGTAAGTTAAGGGTGTGCATAGATTTTAGAAATTTAAACTTAATAACGTCCAAAGATGAATATCCAATGCCTACGGTAGACTCTTTAGTATATTCAACTGCCGGACATGTGATGTATTCTTTTATGGATGGGTATTTGGGATATAACCAAATTTACATAGTTGAAGAAAATATACACAAAACTGCCTTTAGATGCCCTGTAGCTTTAGGATGTTTTGAATGGGTAGTTATGTCTTTCGACTTGAAAAATGCAGGGGCAACTTATCAAAGGTCGATGAACTTGATTTTTCATGATATGATAGGTAAGTTTGTTGAAGTGTATGTAGACGATATAATGGTCAAATCTATTAAAGATGAAAACAATTTTGAACAACTAAGACACTCATTTAAGCGAATGGGGCAATACAAACTAAAATTGAATCTTTTGAAATGTGCATTTGGTGTTAATACGGGAAACTTCCTTGATTTTCTAGTGCACAAAAGGGGGATTGAACTCGATAAGAATAAAGAGAATACTATTTTTGAGGCCAAGCCACCTAACAAAAAAGAATTGCAAAGGTTTCTAGACCAAGTAAATTTTTTAAGACGCTTTATCTCTAATTGTGTAGGGCGAACGAAAGCTTTTTCGCCTCTTTTAAAGCTGAAAAATCAGGACGAATTCATCTGAAAAGAAGAGCATCAAAAGGCTTTTGAAAGCATGAAGACATATCTATCGAGTCCACAGTATTGGTGTCACCAATTCAAGGATGGCTAATGAAAGTGTACGTATCGGCTAAACAAGAATCGATAG